CGTCAAACGTTTGCAGCATATTAAAATACATAGTTTCAAATTATTTATTTTATTTCAAGTAGAGGAAAATAAAAAAATGGATTCTTAATAAAAATCTTTTGGTGTTTATTATTAATATTAATAGAGATATTAATAGACATTTAAGCATCATGGACTTCTTCCGCTAAATCGTATAAAAATTAAGCAAACAATTAAAATTTTAAACAGAAAACTGCATTATGTGGGGAAAACATAGCTAGAAATAAACCTTTGATACCTTTCATAATTTTATTGTTTTTTTTTTCAAAATAAAATTTCTCGCTTTAAAATTGACTTAAAAACATAAATTAATATATGTATGTATATATCTATAATATACATAGTATTTTTAAATTATTTTTTATATTCTAATAAAAAAAGGCTCAACATTTTTATATTGAAAACTGTAAAATTTTACAACAATTTTCATGTATGTATGTATATACTAAAATTATCTGTTATATCCGTCATCAAATTGCAATATTTRAACGCTAATCCGCATTCTTAATTTTTTGAGTCATAATCAAAATTTACATTTGAGCAGGAAAAGAAAAAGTACTCAATTTGAATGAGCAGCACCTAAAAATAAATAAATGCACTAATACTTTTGAATATTATAAAACAAAAAAACAACTGTACAAATTTGCACTTAAATGTTGTCGTCAAAACTAACATTTTCTAATTAGTTATTACATTAACATTAACTGCTGTTACTAAATGCAAACGATCAACTGCAGAACATACTATGTAAAACTTGCATTCCATTAACATTGACTGCTTGAAAACAGCTACAATTTAACACTCACTGTTGAAAGTGCATTTAAAACGCTGCTACTCACAGCACGCTATTACTGCCAACTGCTAACAGTAAAAAATGCACAACACTGCCCGRCTATTTACTTCAATAAATTCTGCTCTGCACACATTCAGAGCAGCACTGTTAAGCAACATGTTCGCTTTCAAGTGTGGTGGTGAGAATTTGCTCAGCGCAAGAGAAGGGGTGCTCTCTGCAACACTTTCGAAGCCTATCATTGTATGCCGTTGCCATCAGTGCTGTGGTGAATTTATAAGATTTCCGCTTCCGCATATGGCACCACGCATTACTGTTATCTAATATATACATAAAGACAAATTTGTGTTGGTGAGAGCAGGCACACACAATCCCTACAGCAGTGGTTTGTTAGCTTCACTCAATCGCTTGCATGCATGTATATTAGTAGGTGCTCGTGCGTGTTATTTACATACGTAAATGTTTTATTTTGAATTGAGCAGAAGACACAATAAAATCAAACGCAAAAGCAAACAAACAATTAGACGAAAGCAAATATATATGTATATATATGTAYATACAAACATGTATACATTTGTAMAAACAAATTAKAATTTWTTTTTTATTGCTGAAATAGAAAAACACCAAAGAGTTGATAAGCTAGACAAGCGTCTGCAGGCGTTGAGGAATTTTCAGCGCCGCTAATGGGAAATTTGGCAATATTGCAAAACAGCGACACATCTACATATGTAAAAACATACATGCATACATATATAGTAGATGATGTGTGTGTAATGAATTTATAGTTGCACTAATTACGTGATAGCTTGTAAACAAAATAATTGATTGCTTCGAAGCAAATGAAATATTTCAACACCTTCTTCACTTTGTAATCTATTCATACCATACGCACACATATGTATGTACGAGTATATACATATGTAAGTATGAAAAATACGCCGCTGTGTATGTGCATTAATGCCTCTTTTTTTTTTTTTTTTGTTTTTTTTTGCAAACTTGGTCATTGAACTCTCCGGTTTCCTTTTTCCTGTCACACAAATACATATGTATGTATGTATGTAAGCACATAATTTAGAAAATTATTTAAAGCATCCACCCATAYACATTAAAAATATACATATGTACATACCAAAGTCATATGTTCCTGCATTCATACAGAGAGAATTGCGTTTGCGTTCTGATAACACCTGAGTCAAGTGTTTGAATATTAGCAGAGCTTTGGCGTTATGCACTAGTCATGAATTTCTGTGTGTGTGTGTGTATGTTTGCATGTTTGAAGGTGTTTTTGTTCGTACGAAAGCTATTAAGCGGGTACTACTCGTAGATACGCAAAATTCGGGAAATGCGTGCTTTTGTTGTGTTGTCGGCTGCCAACTGTTATCTGACAGCAAATTGTTATTGTGTGTTGGAATATTGCTTTGACCTTGATGAAGCTAATGTTTAAATGCACTGTAACCGGTAATGGTGTTGCCAAGTAGTTTCTAGAAAAATTTATTCCAAACGTAAATTGCCACCTTCGAAAAATGTATGTTTATAACTGATTACAAAGAGCAGCTGGTGCAGGATTAATAGGTCAATTAAGCCATGCCCGTCCGAGCCAGAATAAATGAATTAGGAGATTTGGAATCGTAAAAAATACCGACATAGATCCAGCCTGGTCCAGCGAAACTTTAGTAAATCAGACTATATCCAATCTCAATAACCACTCTAAGCTAAGGGAAATCAACAACAAACTGCAAGATAACAAWGCAGTTATGGCCCAATTATGACAGGAATCGAACCAAGAACTTATTAAATATGTCCCGAAATATTACATACAGACTTAAAGGCACGGCGCATTTGCCTTTTAGAGAGCATGCACTAAAAATGGGGCTAACTTCTCTGTGAATGCCGAGTTCTATTAGGAATTCTTTAAAAAATGACTAAACCTTCARAAAACCTGTTCACAAAAAGTATAACAATTTCATTGAGAGCACCAAATGATTTCAGCGTAACGATGGTCCGTTCACAAGACAGTCGAGTCTACGTAACCCGAACGGAATCGAAGTTTTATCCGGCCAAGGACTGTCAACACGGCAAAATTCCTCGAAATTTGATTTGGTTAGGTTAATCTGGTAGGTTAGGTTAATCTGATAGGTTAATCTGATAGACGTAGTGTTGCTAATGCGGGACAAGTGCACAAGAGATGCCCCATTGCTTCTCTGGTGGCCTGCTCTAGGCATTTCCTACAGTCTTCTCGATCTTTCAGCCCCATCTTGAGAACATGTGTCGCCACCAGACAGACCTTTCTCGAAATTAATTTAAGAATATCAATATAATAAGGTCCAACGATAGCGCTAACARTTGTGTATGGTTCTATTTTTGAAAACCTAGAAGTAATTTCAATGAGAYTCGTCTATAAATTTTACACGCAAAATATGACTTCAAAGCTTCTACACCGCAAACAACTGAACATCAACATTCTGACATATTTGAAGGATATAACAGACGACTATTGAGATTCGTATTCGGCTGACATTCCAGGRACGAAGTCTACTAGCTGTAGCAGCCTACAAGAAATCCAGAGCGGGAACAATTTTCAGCGCTTTCGGCTCTTCTACTGTGCGCGTTTATGCCAAATATTAAGTCATGCAAGCCAGTCAACTTCCGAAGTCCAACTGTTACCAGTTTCGATCAGAGCCATTAAYCAGCTTATGTGGAATTAAGTGAAGCACTGTTTACATATTGGGATGGTTGAAGTGGAGTCACTTTAGTACTTTATACTTGGTAGCCAAGATTTGCTGTAAACAACCAAACAAAGCTCAAGTGGTTACCAGTCAAGTACTTG